GCAGGAGTTTCAACACCAGTTAAGGCCAGCCTGGGCTGCATATGAGTTCAAGACCAGCCTGAACTATGTAGCAATACCCTATCTCAAGGAGAAAAAGGAAAAATTCATAGCCTGAGGTAATACAGACAATCATTACTTACTTGAATGGAGAAATTTACTAAATCCATGTATGGTTCCTTCATTTTTTCAGGTAATTTAATTAGTCATCAGATGAAATAAATGGAGAATGGGGACGATGTGACAGAGTTTGTTCTACTGGGGCTCACAGAGAACCCAAAGATGCAGAAAATCGTGTTTGCTGTCTTTTTGATCATCTACACCATCTCCATGGTAGGAAATGTGCTCATTATGGTCACCATCACCACCAGCCCATTGTCAGGGTCCCCCATGTACTTCTTCTTGGCCCATCTCTCCTTCATTGATGCCTGCTACTCCTCTGTTAGTACCCCTAAACTGATTATAGATTCACTCCACAAAAAGAAGACCATCCTGTTCAACGGATGCATGACTCAGATCTTTGGAGAACACTTCTTTGGAGGTGCTGAGGTCATCCTGCTGACGGTGATGGCCTATGACCACTATGTGGCCATCTGCAAGCCCTTGCACTACACAACCATCATGAACCGGAGAGTGTGCAGCCTGCTAATGGGAGTGTCATGGGTGGGAGGCCTTCTACATGCAACCGTACAGATCTTCTTCATCTTGCCACTGCCCTTCTGTGGCTCTAATGTCATAGATCACTTCATGTGTGATCTGAACCCCTTGCTCAACCTGGCCTGCACAGATACCCACACGCTGGGACTATTCATTGCTGCCAACAGTGGCTTCATCTGCCTGTTGAACTTCCTCCTGCTGTTGGTCTCTTACGTGGTCATTCTGTGCTCCCTAAAAACCCATAGCTTGGAGGGAAGGAGCAAAGCTCTCTCCACCTGTGCCTCTCACATCACAGTGGTTGTCCTATACTTTGTGCCCTGCATATTTGTGTACATGAGGCCAGCAGCTACTTTACCCATTGATAAGGCAGTTGCTGTATTCTACACCATGATAA